GGCGGGCGGGTGGCGGGCGGGTACCCGGAGGCCGCGGCGGGGCGAGCCGGCCACGTCGCGCGGGGGGCGAGCGGATCCGGAGTTGAGCCGGGTGCACCCTCTCGGAGGGCGCAGGCTCCCAAGGAGACAGAGGACACGAGCTAGAAAGGAGCGCGGCGGGTGGCGCCACGGGAGAAAAATAGGGGGCAAACCTGGAGGGGAGCCCGGCGAGGGGCCGGGACGCAAGGCCGGGGCTTGCGGGGATCAGGGGTCAGAAATGGGGGAAGCGGACAGCAGCGGGGGTTGTGTGCGGTCTCGTTAGTTGATAAGATCCAGAGGTGTTAAGTTTGAGTCGTGTAAGGGCTGGGCAGGGAGGAGGGGTCTGGGGAAGCCTAGGGGTGGGCGGATGGTGGAGAGCTGGGCTGCGATCCAGGGCCAGGTGAGGAGCCAGCAAGTCGCAGGTCACAGGAGATGGCGATGGGCAGGCAGGCTCAAGTGTGAGGCTGGTGTGAGGACGTGAGCAGGATCCAGGTGGAGGTGCAGAAAGCCTGGTGGGGGCAGCATCTCAGGTGTGAGGCCAACATAGGGCACTAGTGGCCCTAGGCTGAGCGTGTCCGGGGGAGGGGACCCCCACAGTGAGACCCTAGGCCAGGTCAGGGCAGTGCCACCCCATGAGGGAAACCCCTCCCTGGGGTCCCTGAAGCCATGCTGTCCCGAAAGGGTATCATTCCTGAGGAGTATGTGCTGACTCGCCTGGCAGAGGATCCCACCGAGCCCCGGTACCGCGCCCGAGAGCGGAGGGCCCGCTTTGTGTCCAAGAAAGGCAACTGCAACGTGGCCCACAAGAACATCCGGGAGCAGGGCCGCTTTCTGCAGGACGTGTTCACCACGCTGGTGGACCTCAAGTGGCCGCACACACTGCTTATCTTCACCATGTCTTTCCTGTGCAGCTGGCTGCTCTTCGCCATGGTCTGGTGGCTCATCGCCTTTGCCCACGGCGACCTGGCCCCTGGAGAGGGCACCGCAGTGCCCTGTGTCACCAGCATCCACTCCTTTTCATCTGCGTTCCTTTTCTCCATCGAGGTCCAGGTAACCATTGGTTTCGGTGGCCGCATGGTGACAGAGGAGTGCCCGCTGGCCATCTTGATCCTCATTGTGCAGAACATTGTCGGGCTCATGATCAATGCCATCATGCTGGGCTGCATCTTCATGAAGACCGCCCAGGCGCACCGGCGGGCAGAGACCCTCATTTTCAGCAAGCACGCGGTCATCGCTCTGCGCCATGGGCGCCTCTGCTTCATGCTGCGCGTGGGCGACCTCCGGAAGAGCATGATCATTAGTGCCACCATTCACATGCAAGTGGTCCGAAAGACCACGAGCCCGGAGGGTGAGGTGGTGCCCCTCCACCAGGTGGACATCCCCATGGAGAATGGCGTGGGTGGCAACAGTATCTTCTTGGTGGCCCCGCTGATCATCTACCACGTTATTGATGCCAACAGCCCACTCTACGACCTGGGACCCAGCGACCTGCACCACCACCAGGACCTTGAGATCATCGTCATCCTGGAAGGTGTGGTAGAAACCACGGGCATTACCACCCAGGCCCGCACCTCCTACCTGGCTGATGAAATCCTGTGGGGCCATCGCTTTGTCCCCATTGTGGCAGAGGAGGACGGCCGCTACTCTGTAGACTATTCCAAGTTTGGCAACACCATTAAAGTGCCCACACCACTCTGCACAGCCCACCAGCTCGATGAGGACCACAGCCTGCTCGATGCCCTGACTCTCGCCTCAGCCCGTGGGCCTCTGCGCAAACGCAGCGTAGCTGTGGCCAAGGCCAGACCCAAATTCAGCATCTCTCCAGAGTCCCTGTCCTGAGTCATGGTCCATGGGATCTCACCGTGAATGTGTGCACTCAGGCAATGTGTTGTGGTATGTGGTGGTATGTAGAGTGGGTGAGATGGGGGCCCTCCAGCCAAGCAGGAGCCTGGAGTGAGGATGGACCCTGCTCTGCTCAGCCTCCCCCTGCTGTGTGACCGGGGTGTTACAAGGCACTTGTCACTACGCTATTTCTGGCCACAGCAGGAGTCTATACTAGGATATTTTTGTCACTGCTCCTCCCAGCCCGAACTCAGGACTGGCTTACCTCTCTCTCCCTGCCCAAGGCTGGGGAGGCTGTGGGAATGGCTGGGCCCTAAAGCTGGGTCTCCAGCTAGTCTTGCCCTCATGATTAGCCGGCTGCAAGCAGAAAGTGGCTGGGGGGGGGGGAATACCCTTGGGTTGGGAACCTGCTACTCTGTTTCTGCACCCTTGAGAAATAGCCAAGGCCAGGTCCCAGGCCTCCTTAGTCTCTGAAGAAATGATGGGCGAAGGGGTGGGCCTGACAGTCAGGGAACGGAGGACAGAGACTTGCAGCTGCAGTGCGCGCATGGATAGGCTGAGGCTGGCAGGGCTCCCGTCTGTGGGCTGGCTCAGGCCAGAGAAGGGATACAATGAGGCGGGGTAGGGGGTGGCGGCGCGTGACATGAGGAGGCTGTGCTTATCATTGCCAAGGCTCTGAGAGGAGGAGGTGGACCCCGCTCCCCACGCTTCACCCCTAACACCAGGGTTCTGCAGAAAGGGTTCCATGGGTGGGAGCTGTTGGTCCCATTCAGTCCCCAGCCTGAGAGGCTGGAGTGGACTGGAAAGACCCTGACAAGCTGAGTAGAGAGAGACTGAGGTGGGGGCTCCTGGTCTACCCCACAGGAGGGGCCTCACCATGAGCTTCTCTCCTGGCTCACCAATGATACAGCTGTGACTCGCGTTGGTGGCCCAGATGAAGACTGGGGTGGAGGTGGGGAGGACCTCTTAGTTGCTGAGAAAGGGGGTGTTGGAAAGTTTAGGACACTGGGGTGGGTGAGTCCCCCCTAGATGAAGAACTCCCTGGGTTGACCTGAGCCAGGACTCTCAGAGCAGTGCTGTGTCCTTACCCAGAATTCTGCCTTCTCCACTGTCAATAAAGCCTGCCCCTCCACAACCTCAACTCTGGGCTGTTCTTACTGGGGAGGCCTGGAATGTGTTGGTGGAAAGGGAGGGCAGAGGCTAGCAGCTGGCACTCCGCACTCAAGACCTGCCAGAAGGGCCTTTCCCTTCAGACTCTGCCTGTCTGCCCACTGCCAACCCGTGTGATCAGCTCTGCCTTTGGGCATCCTGGAAGCTCAGCAGCTGCAGTCCTGCCTCTCTCCCAGGGCCTTGCTGGACCCCACTGAGAGAGAGGAGCAAGGTCAGCTGGACCCCACTGAGAGAGAGGAGCAAGGTCACCATAGATGTCAGGGTCATGAGTGGAGGGTGAGCTCTCCAGTCCCCTGCCTGGGTCCCAGTCCCGCCTCTAGCTGCACAACTTTGGTCATAGACCCATCTGTGCCTCAGGTGCCTCAGGTGATCTAGTACCTACCTCAGAGAACAGGTGCAGGAGTGAAAAGCACATGTCACAGACTGAAGCGCCCAGTCTAGAAGTGTATGAAAGATCGTGACTGCTGTGGACTCAGCCACGGGGTGAGAAAGCCGACCAAGCAAACCTTAGCAGAGAGTTTGCTTTCCCGCTTCCATGCTGATCTTTTCTCTGCCTGGTCTGACTTTGCCCTCTGTGCCCCTCGCAGCTGAGACTGTGATCACAGGGGCTGTGGCAGCAGACACCTGTCACCTGGGTCCTGTCTGCACTTAGCCCCTACAGCCTGTCACCAGGCAGCCAGCAGAGTGGCCTTAGAAGACTACCACCCTTTCCTCCCACAGATAGCCTTCTGTGTCCCCACACCTGCTGGGTCCCAGCGGGACTTGTTAGGTGGCCATTGGGGCCCTGCCTGCCCTCCTAGCCTGAAGTCCGGTGAGCTCCTCGGCACAGGTCGCAACCAGCGCCCTCTTCTGCCTCCTCACCCCCTCTCCTCCCACACAGTACTGAGCCTCTCAGCTGGGAGCCTTATTATTCCCTCTGCCCTGACAGTCCAGGCCCAGCACCTACTGACAACTATCCAAACTGTAGGCTCAATCCTGCCTCCTGGAAGCCCTCCCTGAGGTCTCTGGGGAGCGATGGCCCCTTCCCTCTCTGTGTTCTGGGTCTTCTCCTCTACCTTTGTCAGAGAGTCCATGTTCATATTCTCAAGTTCGTGGCTCCTTGAAGTTTAGGGCTGCATCTGACCAAGCACTGATCCCAGGACAGAAGGTGCAGAGGGAACAAGTGACACAGGGTTGAGTGGGTGTATGCATAATGTACAAGAGCCCAAGCCTAGCTGCCTATGGCAGTGAAGCCTGCAGCGTTCTTCAGCCCATCAGTGAGTCAGCCTCAGGCTGCTCCAGAGAAAACCCAAGGGATCAGGAAGTTGCTGCTGCTGGTCTGGGCTCACTGCTGCCCTCTGCATGCCTAGAGTCTCTAGCAAGATGCCCTTCTGCAGCTGGCTCACTGCTGGGTCCAGGGAGGAGAATCGAAGAGCTACTCAGTGTGCCCAGGGTTCTGGCTCCTGCTTGTTGGACTCAGCGTGGCGGTGCCTGAAGCCACACAGAGAGCCGGAGTTGCTGATAAGGGGCCCTTCTGCAGTGACACCTTCGGAGTCCCATCCAGATTAAGCTTCCTCCAACCCTCAGGGACTTTATGTGGTTTGTGACAGGCTGAAAGCTGTGGAACTAAGGCTGTAGAGCCTTCTGCTGGTCGAAGAGCAGAACTACATGATCCCAGGAAATCAGGGCTGCAGGACCTGAAATTTCCCCTGGCTCTAAGGGAAAACCCCAGCCTTAAGGCTCAGCTCAGGAAGGAGCTGGATGGAAGGTGCCAAGGTTGAAGGGCTGGATGGAACACATCCTGCTTATCCCCAACAAACAAGAGCAAAAGTGGGACTCAGGAAGCCTCCGCCCCCCTCCCCACAGCTTCCAGACTTCGGACTAACAGCAGGCTGTGTTAAATGACCGCAAAGATGCTATCCAATATACCACGGAGTCAGAGGGACCTCACTGGCACATTGTCTAGCCCAGGTGCAGGATGAGCCTTCCATCTGCCCCCTTCTCACCTGGACAGACCCTTGCTTTTCAGTGACTGATGGTGCAGCCTGGGGTACACATCTAGCACATCTCAGTCACTAACTCACACTTGTGTGAAGTATCCGGGCCTGTCCCACATGAGGAAGCCAGGCTGCCTCTTACTATTGGGGAAGCCCTTGCTAGTTTGGGAAAATTAGGCCTCTTAGGCATCCTGGAAGCCTTAACAAACCAGACACCTCTATGCTGGCATCTTGCGCTCCCCTCAGGCCCTCACATGCACCTCAGGCCTTTCTGCTGCTCTGCCTGGTCTCCTTGCAGCTGACACCCTTCCAGTTGTGCCCTTCACTGGAGCACCTCCCAAAATCCTTTTCCTGGAGACCGCTTTCTGAGAGCCTGCTGTCCCAGGAAAGGAGGATCCTGACTCCTACAGCCATCAGGATGCCCAAAGCCCCTGGGGTTTCCCCAGGCCCAGGCATCAGAAACTTTAGGTTGGACCAATACTTTGGTTCAAGCCATACAGATGACTTTGAGAAAGAAGAAAGGAATTCTGTGCTTCAAAGTCATGCTGTCCCCAGACTTGAGAAGCCCACATCCACTGGTTTGGAAGGAGGTGAGTAAAGGAAGAACAGTGAGACTAAAGACAGGCCGGGACCAGAAGTGGGGTTTGCTGGACTTTTGTACTGCATTTCAGATTATCTCAGCTTCTCTGCAGGCCCAGCCACCTGAGGCTTTCGAGATCCTCATGGGAAGGGAGATGGGTGCTTCCTACACTTCCTTTAATTCTGCTCAGGGCAGGCCCAGCTTTGGAGTGACCTAAAGGCTGGCTGCCCAGAACAGACACCTGGGTTCCCATGCATGAATTCCTTTTACTGACCGCCATGTCTCCCATGCCTTGATGTTAGAGTGGGACACACGGTAGAAAGTGCACATCTGACTGCAGGATTTCTTACCTTTACTGGGAGACACAGCAGGGTAGAGGTGAGCGGCACAGGCCAGCACCACCTCACAGCTTTCCTCCATTCACAGCTCCACTTAACCCTTGGCCACAGCACTCACCTCTGCATCAAGAAATCCAAGTCTTTGCAGTCTGAATTATGTCCCAAATTTCCCCTGGCTCTAAGGGAAAAGCCCAGCCTTAAGGCCCGGCTCAGGAAGGAGCTGGAAGGTGCCCAGGTTGAAGGCATCCTCCTGACCAAGCCATCAACACCACATCTGAAGCAAGTCACTTTGCATAAAGGGTAACGCCAGCTAAGAGCGAAGTAAACACTCCCCAGCACTTTTCATCAGTTCTGGCTGGCTCTTTTCCCCACCCATCCTGGAAGTGGAATGAAAGTCATTGCAAACTTCCAACTCCTCAGGAAGGTAGCACAAATAGTCTGTGCTGAAGTGGGTAGTTTTGGTTCTCAGGAAAAGCCATCTGGTTGGCTCTTCATTCTCTGGAGGGGTCTCTGCTGTCTCTGTGAGACAACCACTGTCCTCATGGACAAAGCCACAAAAGCTCCAGATGCCTCATTCTACACCCCAGCTCTGCTTGGGTCCGTTTGGGTCTTCTGGGAAGCATTTTCCAAAATGGAATCAGAAGCTTAAGAGGGCTACAAGGGGAAACAAAGGAGAGGAAGGAATCGTGACCAGGATGAAGGCCAACTGGGAAGGGCCTACATGACACAAGACCTTCGTGGGAAGCAGAGGCACCAGGTGAACAGTACAGTCGGCACCGCCCACGCCTCAGCCCAGTTCGCAGCCCAGGGCAGCTGCTTTCTGCTAATCCCAAACCTCCTTCTCAGCAGGTGATCTCAAGCTTTGCAGCACAACTATGTCCCAAACTCTTCCTACCCAGACCACCAACACTCCAGCGGAAGCAGAGCAGACTTTGCACAGCTGTGTTTCACTTTATTCTCTACTATACTTGAAATAATACTGTTGTTATTGGGGAAAGTGGAAGGTTAACTTCGGGGTAACCCAGAGGGAAGTAAATACAACCGAAACTTGCTTCAGTTCAATTCCAACTATGTCCTCTTTTTCCAATCCATGCTGGAAAAGAAATGAGAATCAGTCTATAGTTCCGTCTCCTTGGAGGGCAGCCTGAGTGGTCTGTGCTTGAGCGCTGGTGTTGGTCATCAGGAAGAGCCTTCCAGTGGGATCCCCATTCCCTGCTGTCTGTCATCACTCTGCTGTTCTCAGCCACTGTCACCCTGGATGAAGCCATAAAAGCACCATGGCCCTCAGTATGATTCTATTCAGTCCTTTTTTGGGTCCCTTTGGGTCTTCTGGGAAGCAGATTCCAAAGGGAGTGAGAAGTTCACAAGAATTATTTGGGTGATCCCTGTGAAAGATAAAGGGGAGAGGAGGAGGAGGAAGCGGTGGCGGCGGAGGAGGAGGATGAGGAGGATGAGGAGGAGGAGGAGGAGGAGGAAGAGGAGGAGGAAGAAGAGGAGGGGAAAGCCTCAGACCACAGTGCAAGCCATTTGTGCAGAGAGAGGAGAACAGGTAGAGGGTGGAGGAGGAAAACTTCATCATACAGGACAAAGTGCAGTGAAACACTCAGTGCTTCTAGAGGAACAGACTTCATGAAAGATACATGACATGTAAGAATTTACAAGATTGACTTACAAGGGCCACCCATGGGGTCAGGTGTGCCAAAGTAGCTGCCCCTGCACCTAGGATGCCGGGGCTGTGCTTCCAGTATCACTCATCCTCCAGCAGGTCAGCCTGGACTTGAGCTTTTCATGTCAGAAGCACCAAAGACAGCAAAGGAAGACATGAAAGGCCTCTCAGGGGTCACACTGGGAACTGGCCTATAGTCACATTCTTACATTAAATAAAGCAAGGCACATGTTTGAGCCCAACATCCGGGGAGTGGGCCTGAGGTCACTGTAAAGCTAAGGTGCATGACATGGACACAGAGTTGCATGAAGGAGTGGAGTCATCTGTGCCAACTATCCAGGGGTTCAGGACCTTGGCTCCTTCTTGATTTGAGCAGGATAGAAGCATCTTATGCTTCTGTCTGGTTCTAAA